GTTAGCGAGAATGGTGAACAGTGAGGAAGAGAAAGGAAAGATGGTAACGGAAAGTTAAGTGTAATTAACGGACAGTAACAGAAGTTAAAGGGTGTAACGGAGTGTGCAAAAAATAAGGGTAAATCTACCATTATCCTACATATATACACCCTCTAAAAGTTACACATTTCGTTACAAACTGATGATTTTCATTAGTGTGCCGTTAAAATTGACAAAATCCATTAGTTTTAATGGCAAATATAACAAAAATTGTTAGTTTTAATGGCATAAATAACAAAAATAGTCAATTTTAACGGTACATTAACGAAAACTGTCAATGTGAAATAAAGTATATAACTTTGAAAGATGTATATATTACTTCCTTAAAAAATAATTATTAAAAAACAATTAAGATTTTTTAACATTAAAAATGTCAAGATATTTAATAATAGTCACATCTACACATTTATGGTTGTCATTTAATATACTTTTAATGTGAGTCTTTAGAGTATAGATTAGACAAACTCAATTATTAATTAATAACAAATGACAGATAATAATTAATTAATAACTAATAATTGTTATTGCATGTGATTGTTGGTTGGTAATGTAGCTGTTAGGTATTACTATAATAGGTTAAATTACCAAAAAAAAAAAAACAAAGCCATAATTATGTCTTCTTATTTATTATATCTTTTTTGATGGGATTCTTATTACATCTAAAAAGCGCTATGATTCCATAAAAATAAGCCACTAAATCAGAATTTAAAAGGGATTAAAAGGTATCGAAAGGATCAAAGAATGTTACAATGAACAGTTTTCTTATTCCACTGATTGAGAGATGATACAGGAGCATAAATTTGTTTTTATTTTTTAAAAAATGAGGGAATTTGTAAATGACGGTGGGATTTGATAAGTTAGGAAGAAAATGTTTGCTTTTTTTTTTTTTCTTCAGTGATTATTAGTTGAAATAGGCACTAAAGCAAAGGATAAGAATTGGAATATAAATTGATAATTTGGGAGATTTTTTGGGCAGAAGTATGGGATAGATTATTCAAAATATAATTTTAAAATTGCAAACAGATGATCGTTATACGCAACAGCTATTGCAAATATGCAGCTGTTGAGGGCTACAATAATTACTGGTTGTTAAAGATCAACCGCTGAAATTTTTTCCCGAATACTAAAATTTAGCTGTTGGGAGGATAATCGCTAGCTAGTTCCCAACCACTAAAACAATAACTCCTAAAACTTTAATTTTTAAAAACACATTTGCTCTAACTATAATTTTTGTATAGGTTTTGCTTCAATAAATCTCTTGCAGAATTTTGGCCATTTTTTTTAATTATTAAATCACGAATTCATATAAAATAATTATAAAAAAATTAGAGACTAATAAAATTATTTTTTATATAGGAAATGGAAAAATTATATTAAATAATAAAAAAATACAGAAGAATCTCCATAGCAGGTATATAGCCTAGAGCATTATAACCTAAAGATAAAATCAAAAGTATAACCTATAGCACTAATAACAGATTTAAACTATACTCATGACAAATATAGATAATTAAGTAAAGAGAGTCATCTACAATTAGAGATTGCAATTGTAATCGCTGTATGAGCTAAATAGGGCTATCAAAGTAGAAAGGAGAGTCATTATGAGCATCAAAAGCTATTGGACATCCTCACCTATTTAACCAGTTTCTTGGGGAAAGCAAGGGATTCTAGCAACAAACAATCCCCAACTTGCAAGTTGCCAACCTATCTATTCTTGAAAATTAACCAAGAGGAAAAGGTGTATGGACCCCCGTAGTGCAAGCATGTTCCCCATCTTTTCCAATCCTCTTCAAAACCTATTTGCCGAAATTATTGAAGGGAACTAGAGCCCCTTTACCACCTTGAATGCTAATTTCCTCATGCAAATCACAATTGGTTTCAACAACAGCATCTTTTTCCTTTTTGCCAGTCCTCCATACAAACAAAAAGCACCCCAATCGCTATTGAGTGCTCCCAATCATATTCCCAACATTGCTAATCCTTTGTAAACCCTTGCTGGCGAAGCTCATCAAGGGAACTAGAGCCCTTTTGCTGGTGTGAATAGCATATTGCCCGTGCAGACCAAAATCGAAGTTACCAACAGCATCCTTGTCCTTCTGTATTCAGTTACCGGATCAAAAATTGGAGTACACTAGGTTCTCCGATGTAGATCGAAAGATGCCACTGCCTTGCTAGAAATTGGAGTGCACGGGGTTCTTCGAATGCAACCCCTGCCAAGATCTCATCCGAAATTGAAGATATGCTGAAGTGAGAGTCTGACCCGGTGAATAAGAGAAACCCAACCCACTAGCGAGATCAATTCCCTCATTATTCAATCATAGCCTTCAAAAATTGACAGTAGATGTAGATCGAAAGATGTTGTTGCCTTGTGGTCTCTTGGGCTG